GGAAGGGGAGCGGGGAGGGGAGGTCATCTGAGAGTTGATACCTCATCACCGTCAGCTGAGACCAGAGAGGAATGGAGGTGAGTTTGGTCTCCTCACACCTGAACTGCCTCCCTTCCCCTCGGTAGGTGGAATATGCTAGGCCAGCCCGATCCTGACCTCACCCTGAGGTGGCTGCAGGCGGAGGATTCGATGAGATTCAAACTCATCCAGATGCACCGAGCTGTGAAACGAGACCTCATCCACCCGAATTCCTGGCCCATAACCTGGAAAGAGAGAAAGACCCCTCTCCTAACCCACATTTTGGGAGGGGGTGGGGATCTGTCTCTAACTTCCCTCCATGAAACCTTTGACAGTGACCTCGACCTAGGAGAGAAAGACCCACTTTCTCACCTCTTAGTTCTGACTTGCCCACACAAAACTCTTCCGTCAAGCCGATGCGCATCTCTGTCAGAGGAAAGAACAGAAGAAGCAGCTGCCAAATACCCCATACATGCCACCAAGGAGCCTGTCCCAAACCCCACCCTGGTCCAGCCTGCAGGCTGCTCACCAGAGCCGCTGGGCAGAAAGCTCTTGAGTCGTATCTCTCCCTGCACGTCCAACTTCAGCAGCGAGCCCTGAGAGTGACAGGAGGTCAATGCCCAGACGTGACCTCCCCAACACACTTCCCAAAGGCCGCCTGTCCTCAGCCGCAGGGCTGGGGGCCCAAACTTACGTTAGAGGCTATCAGGACGGACAGTCTCTCGACCACATCCAGAAACACTTCATTCTTTTGGCTCTAAGGAAAGAGGGATTTGGGGGTTGATCAGCCTGTGTTCTAACGTGGACAGGCAGAAAGGACAGGACAGTGGAAGCTGGAGCCCTGGGTTGGGGACGTGGGTAAGAAAAGGGATCATCCACGTCTAGAGGAGGTGGAAAGATATGCTGGGATCTTGGACTCTGGGGGCTAAGAGAAAAATCAGAGGATCTGAACCCATCAGTCCCTCCTTCACCTGGTCAGAGCGGCTGGACAGCACCGGGCGGCTGGCTGCACTGCTGGGGGCCACTTTGCTCTGTTGTGTCTCAGCCCCAAACTGGAAATCATCCAAAGCAATCAATCCTCACGTATGACACTTCCCACTAACCCTCCTCAATCCTGGCCTCATCTGTCCCTGGACTGACCAAGCCAACGCTGCTGAGGTCAAAGAGGCTGAAGGGTTTGCTGACCACAGCCTCCGTCTGGATGAAGTTCCTCAGCATCTCCGTGGATGTGGTCTGTACATAGCCATAGTCCTATGGGTAAAGGAATGGCAGTCTTTGGGTGGTCATGGGGGGAAGGGGTGAAAATGAACGGACTCAGCCTCCCAGCCATGGGATGCATCTTCAGGGAGCGGGGGACAGGGAGGGACATCCTTGGACCTCACCAGCACTTCATCCAGAAGTTCGTAGACCAGAGCCACGTTGCGGGAGATGGTCCCCTCACCCAGGGAGCCACAGTAATCACCCAGGAGCGTGGCTAGCCTGCAGAACAGGACGGAGTGTGCATACCCTCCTCCTCTCTGACCCCCACCGCCCGGGTGCCCAGCCCCGCCCTCCTCACCGGGAGAGCAGCTCTAGGAGACTGAAGGGAGAAATGTTTTCTGAAGTCGTGGCCACCAAATAGAGGCCGCTGTGTCTGATGTGAATAAAATGACGGTCATCGTGGTGCTGAGGCAGAGGCAGGGGGAAAAAGCATTAGCAAGAAAGAGTTGTGGTGATTCCTGGCCCATGAGACCTGGGCTGGTATCCAGATTCCCCTACTTACTAGCAGCGTGACTTGTGCCACATACGAAACCTCCCCAGGGCCCAGCTTCCTAGTGTGTAAATGGAGTTAATAATAGTACCTACTCCAGAGTGGCTGAGGATTGAGACGTGCGGGGAGCTGTGCCTGGTGCATTGTGAGCGCTCAGTAAACTTCTGTTAATATTATGTGGAGGAATGTACCCCCCAACTGGGAGCTCTCAAGGAAACAGCCCTGGGAGGAGGCGCCCCCCACCCAGACCCACCAAGAGCATCCCCTCCACCCCACCCCCCGCCAGTGGTTACCATGACAACCGGAGACTCGTCTCCAGGCAGTCCCGTCAGCTTCCGGTAGAAGAGCTCGGCCACATCCCGGCCTCCGCTGTCTCCGCGGACTGACCGGGTGGAAGGACAGCTAAGGAGCTGGCGACACTGGCTGGCTCGGGGGCACTAGTCCCACCCAGCCCCTCCCCCCCGGCCCCGCTGGCCAAGGATACAGTCCTTGTAGATGAGCGGGTCCCCCTTGGAGGACAGAATGAAGAACTGGGAAATCATGGCCGTTCTGGAGAGTAGACCAGGAGACAGCGAAAGTTGGGCCTGCCCCGCCCTGCGGCCCTGGAACAAAAGGACGCGAGTGGGCTGGCCCTTTAAGAACGATTCTCCTTCCACCGCGGGAAACCCGGCGCCCGCCCAAGCCTCGCCCAGCCTTTCCCTCCTGACACCCGCGCCGCTACCCCGTCACTCAGCCCAGATTCGCCCGCTGATTGGTCGTGGCAGGGGCCCGTGGCGAGTGGGAGGGGCGGAGGGCCTCTTCTCCGATTGGCCCGCACTCAGCGGCGCTGGTCACGTGGGGAGCGACGTTTCGCGCCAATTTCGGTTGGTCGGCCGCAGTCCGCCGCGCGGACGTTTTTAGCTGTTCGGGCAGGGAGAGCTCAGAGCCCGCCAACTGCTGCCGCATAGCCCTCGGCAGCAATGGCACTTAAGGACTACGCGCTCGAGAAAGGTGAGGGTCTGCAAGTGTGGGAGGGGCGTCCTGCGCGGGAAGTTTCCTGGTCAACACCTGTTTGGGTGAGCGGGAGTCCCGGGGGGCAGGGTTCGGCCCGCGAGGCCCGAGGCAGGGTTGGGAGGTGGCGGGTTGGAGGCACGCGGTGGCTGGGATGCGCACGGGGCGCCGAGGTCGGG